AACTGATTGCGGACCGTAACGAGTGACCGAAACGAGTACACAATAATTCGTCGCTTACTTTTTCGACTCGTCGGTACACGACATCACTGAGAAGTAATAAATCTATTATTTGTTCCGAGGTATTAAATTTATTATTTGGGTTATACTTAATTATGTTTAAGAGGACATATTGCAATTTTGGAACAAAAAGTTCGCGACGTGCGTGGCACGTCATTCCAGCGAAAGAAGTTAACCACTGATTGCGGACCATAACGAGCGACCGTATAGGATAATTCGTCGCCTTCTTTTTCAATTTGTATTTGATATCAATGGACAGAAATTATTGACAAATAATAAATTTATTATTTGCTTTGCCTACTTTGTTTTACTTAAATATACTTAGAACTGAGAAAATATTGCAATTTTGGGACAAAAAAAAGTTTCAAAGCAAGTTTCTTTTTCACGTAGAATCTAGGTTAGGAGACCACGAGTCCTGAGACACCCTGTACAATCGAGAATCACGATTATTCCCCAACAGCGAGCGAATCGAACGGAGAGAGAAAGCGGCCTAAACGGGGCAACAAATCGATAACGTCTTCAATAATTAGTACAGGCTCCTTGAACTTGATGCAATCTCTCTCTTCATCCTCCACTGCTCGTGCTCAGATCGATGAACACAGAGGAGAACAAAGTGTAACAAGTCCGGAGAAAGGATTGCAAGCTCTCCGTGCAAAGTTCTGCGCGCAACTTTGTGCCGCAACCTTCACGCGGAAGCCGTATCTCACGTCGAGACATGCTACAATGTAGAGAGGCTTCTTGTCCCAACCGTACACTTGTACGATTCGTTCAATTACATTAACTGTCTGTTTAACCCCTTGCGCTGGCAACTGGTTCGCGGACCATAACGAGCGACCAAAATCGCGTACGATACAATTCGTCACTTTCTTTTTGAACTCGTCGGTACGACATCGCTTGGACAGAAATTATCGAGAAGTAATAAATTTATCATTTGTTTCGCCTGGATTATACTTAAATATACCTAAAACTGAGAAAATATTGCAATTTTGGGACAAAGTGGTTAACTACTTGCGCTGGCAACTGATTGCGGACCGTAACGAGTGACCAAAATCGTGTACAATAATTCGCTTTCTTTTTAAACTCGTCGGTACGATGACACTGGACAGAAATTATCGAGAAGTAATAAATTTATTATTTGTTTCGCCTGGATTATACTTAAATATACTTAAAAACNTGAGAAAATATTGCAATTTTGGGACAAAGAGGTTAACCACTTGCGCTGGCAACTGATTGCGGACCATAACGAGTGACCGAATCGTATACAATAATTTGCTTTCTTTTCTAATTCATCGGTATATCACTGGATAAAAACTAAGAAGTAATAAATTTATTATTTGTTTCGTCTGGGTTATACTTAAATACCTAAAATACTGGGAAAATATTGCAATTTTGGGGCAAAAAGTTCTCGACGTGGGTAGCACGTCATTCAAGCGCAAGAGATTAACCACTGATTGCGGACCATAACGAGCGACCGTATAACAAATTCGTCGCTTTCCTTTTCAGTTCGTCGGTATGATATCGCTGGATAGAAATTATTGAGAAGTAATAAATTTATTATTACTATATTTTAATAAATTTATTAACTAAATTACTATAAATTTACTATATTTTACTAATAAATTATAAATTTACTATATTTTATTATATATAAATTTACTATATTTTAATAAATTTATTATTACTATATTTTAATAAATTTATTATTACTAAATTACTATATTATTTATATTTATATATAAATATAAATTATCACCAAGTAATAATTTATTATTACTTTTGCCTGGGTTACACTTGAATATACTTAAAACTGAGAAAACTGCAGTTTTGAGGCAAAAAATTCTCGACGTACGTAGCACGTCATTCCAGCGCGCCAGAGGTTAAACTACTGACACGCGAAAAAGAAAAAAAACGGAGGAAAAACACACTGAAATGAGGAAATGGGGAAATGGATCCTAATCAAACGAAAAATTAATTGTTTCGTTACTTTATTTGTCACTTGGATTGAAATGTCGGTAAATATAAATTCTGTTGTACCAAGATTTTTATTAGAATTTATTCCATGGTTTCTCCTTTAAAAAGAATGTAAAGATCGAGCCAGAATTTCCACACGAAACACGAAAATGAAGAAATAGTGGCTGGTGGATCCTAATCGAACGAAAAATTAGTTGTTTCGTTATTCTATTTGTCACTTGGATTGAAATGTCGACGAAGTGTAATCTATTGGAGAAAAATATGAAAAAAAAAATAAGAATTCGTCTATAAGTGGAAATTCTGTTGTACCAAGATTTTTATTAGAACCTGTACATTCTATGGCTCGTTCTCTAAAAAAAAAAAAGAAAACCGAGCCAGAATTTCCTACCATACGCAGAAATAAAAAGTTGACTTTGATCAAACGAAAAATTGATTGTCTCGCTATACCATTTGTCATTTATATACTAAAGTCTCATCAAACTACTGTAATTTGTCGAAGAAAAATATTGAGAAGAATAAGAATTTCAAACCAGCTCGTTTGAACCAGGTTTTTCGTTAGATATTTCCATAAATCGACAACCGATCATCCTGATTTTCCTACTAAAAAAAAAGAATCGAGCAGAAATCGAGCTACTTAAAATAAAATACACAATCAATCTAAAATAAAACGCACGATCTAAAAAGATCAAATCTAAAAAGATCAAAATTAAAATGTTCATCGCTAAAAAATTTCGATCGAACGACATCGATCGCAA